TGTGCATGGGAGTATATATACACATATATAATCAAAATGCATCTTGAATGGGTAAGCTAATTTAAACATATACATTTATTAAGATGTTAAGTGGCAAGAGGTAAAGGCCAAATTCTAAAAGAACTAACCTGATAAGATATTTTCTCGATTATTTGTGTTTGGCAAATAAAAACAATTTAAGTGGGTAGGTAGAAAATGCTGGACTATGTGCACATTCTGACTACACTGAAAACCTTCAAAAATCATACCAAATGTTTAGGAACCTAATATACAAGGTCCAACTAGGCTATAAACTGTATATATTCATCATATTACTTCACTTCATCCTTTTAAAACTCTGTAAAATGACTCTGTCCCTGCTTGTGAATAAGCACAAGGGAAATGGTAAAGCCATACACACAGAATTAGAAGAAAATCTAACCTGTCTGGTCTTTATTTGCTCTTTCAAGTAAATCACAGATTCTTTTATGCTACCTTCAAAATTAGATGGCACTGACCACTATTATTTCTGACCCCTATTAAAATAATTTTTTAACACTTCCTGTGTTTCCAAAGTCTGATTCCCCACTAATTTTTGGAGGCAACAGACTTATCAATAGAAATCTAAAGAAACTTGTCAACTTTTAAGAACTTAAAATCATGCTTCTGTTACCTGGTCATGTAAATGTTTTTAAATATAAATTTACTGAATCACCGTAGAGCAGTTACAGAGCTATTGGGTTTAAGTCTCGGTCATACAATGATGAAACACCTGTCCCTTCACCAGTGCACATTTTCCACCACCAAAAACCCCAGTATAACCCCCATCCCAGACACTCCCCCTACCTGTAATGCAGATGATTTTCCACATTATTTCTCTCTCTACTTTGATTACATTCAATATTCCGACATCAGACCCACCATTATTATTTGGAATTTTACCCCAACAATCACATCTCCCGAAAAGGCAACATTATACAATTTGTTTTCTGTTGGTGATTATGAATAGCATATGATGTCACGTGGCCACAGTAGCGCTCGCACAATTTTGAAATTCCGAAATCTTAATAAATAAATTGGATGGATTTCTTCCAAAAGTTGCTGGGTTCCAAGATTTGTTTCTGAGTCTCTGGGATCATGGCTTAAGCCACTTGTTGAGTAGCTAGAGGGCCTGTTCGTGGGCAGTGATTCGGGATCTTGTTGGGGCGGGGTAGGACTGGTCATGTAAATTTTTTAGAAGAACATACATGCCTAGATACTTATGCTTTAAAAATAAAAGGGCCAGGAAAAATAAATCTCACAAATCTACACTGTATACCTGTAGCACTGAAAAGGAATCCAATATCTTTTCAGCCATGTTAGCATCAATGTACTGCAATAACTGTCCATTAAATTTTTGAATTCCTTGGGGCACCCATCATTCTTAGCACATTGACCTATAGAAGATAAGTATTGCTCTTCTTTTATTATTGATGAATAAAAGAAAAACCTAAAATAACAGTACATGGAACACTTTTCAAAGAAACAAACATTAGTGTCTTTCAACATTTGAGTACATATAATGACAGAAGTAGAAGTGCAGGGATATGTATAGTAATGCCAACTCCATCAAACTTCTGGTATAGACAATTTCTTTGTACTTATTTCTACTAAAGTAGTTTGGGGCAAGAGGGCTTGGCCCCACCCAGAACCTCCAGTTACTTCTGGCTCTGTGCTCAGGAATCACCCCAGGTGGTGCTCGGGGAATTAAATGTCATGCTGGGATTCAAACTAGGGATAGCAGTGTGCAAACCAAGAACCTAATCCCTGTATTATTTCTCCAGCCCCCAAAGTAGCATTTTAGAAAACAGTGGTGAAGAAATTTTGCTTTCCTTTGTAAACTTAGGAAAAAACAAAACTAGAAATTTCTAGAGCTGACAAGATCCATTTAGATTTACATGTAAAGTAAAAGCATAATACAATAATAAACTAGTTAAAACCCTAATTGTTCCTAATTACACCATTTTCCAAATTTTATGGATTAGGAAAACAAAGTCTGCTGGAGAATTTATTAACCACCCATAAAATACCTAGATAACCATAAACTCATAGTATAGAAATGAGACCATGTGAGTTTTACACTGTCATTGCCTAATTTCATTATTACATTAAAAAGGAATGTCTACGTCTGAAATCATTAAATATATGCAGGAAAATTCTCTACCTACTAGTTTACATATAATAGATCTTTCTTTTCTATAATGATTACAAAGTTGACTTTTTTATAGGTTTTGTAAATTTACAAACCTGGAATTGTAACAAAAACATACACACAAGAAAGTACTCAGTAAAGTATTAATACAGTCATTTAGAAGCCTTCTGAAAAAAGATTGATTACATACTGCATTCTAAAGTGCATATCAGGAAATAAAAATTTTATATACCTAACATATATTAGTGAAGTACATTTATCCTCATTAATGTTCAATATGAAGTCCTAGTATTAGATAAACAAATGCAAGTGGTCTGGAAAAATATTAAATATAAAAGATGAACTTAAATTTTAATAGCTAGATTTTCTTACATTTTGAAAAATGTAACAGCAAGGAAACAAAAAATCTAATCATAACAAGAGGATCTCATTCCAATCTATATTATCATGTAGAACTACCACTTCACAGTTTTACTGCAACTGGTACATTCAGAATCACATTGTGCCATAAATGAAGATATTCTCTAAATATAATTATTCAGTTATAACTATAAAACTATGCATATTTTGCAAACTAATGACAACTGTACATTATTTTTTATGTTATACACATAGTATCAAAACCTGATAAACACTTAAACTTAATTTACTATTTCAATCTAATTTGAAAATTAGTCATCTACAAAGTACAGTAGTACATTTTAAGAAATGATCGTATTATTTACATGCTATGACTCTTTAAGCATACTAATATTAGATACATTAAAATATATAATTATACCTTGTGCTAAAATTAAAAACAAGTAATCGCAACAAAACATAGAAACTGCCACTCACCTACTTATGAGTTAATTTTCTAAACTGTGAAGAGTACAGATGATTCTTTCTCACAGTTATGTTTATTACGTGGACATAATTATACACATGTAAGATTCTGCTACAAGGTAAGTACTAGGCTAATATACACATGTAAGATTCTGCCACACGGTAAGTACTAGGCTATATGTTGTGCAAAACACAAAACAGCTAACAATAAGGCGGAAAGAAATGATACGTATGAATAACTAAACTTCAAAAATTCTGGTAAATACTAGAAAATTAGCACAGAAAAGAAGTCAGAGGGATTTAAATAAAGAATGCAGATGTTCTAGCTAAAGGTATGAGGAAGGATATCATCATTGGAAGAATTCTGTATATTGTGTAGGGTTCAGACATGGAGAAGAGGTAATTTGTTAAGTATCAGTGCTCATGTTCTCTAATTATTATGATTCACTGAACAAGAAATGGGACTGCCAAGGTAAAAGATTGGGAGAATGAGTCTGAGATGAAAATTAACTCCTGCTATAGAAATTTACATCAATTTTGTCATACTAAAATGGCTTTAGAAACAGAAGCAGGCTGTGCTCTAAAAGGGTTCTGGATAAAGAGGTAGATTCACTTACCACAGAAAAGAAGGCCCCTTTCTGCAGTAATAAAAGTCACTTTATCTACCGAGAGAATTCAAACAAAATCTACAGCTCTAAGTACACACAAGAGTACTAAAATTCCCCAGCTATTTCTTCTTCAAAACTGGAGGGGAAAAATGGACAACAGTCAATTAAAAATATCACCCAAAAGTCATTACTAGTACTGAGTTAAGTCTCTGCTACTTTATAGTTTGATACACATAATTTAACTTTCCCTGAAAGTAGAAACCTGTCCTTGGGTTATCCTGAGAAACAGAACACTTAGTCATCGTGAAATAATATATGAACTACCTACACTAACAAATACCATATACTTAGTAGGATTTAATTCCTTGCTATTATTATATGAATCCTACTAGAATGGGAGGGAAAAACTGTGGAAGCGTCAGGAAAAGAACAATTTTGAACTGTAAATTTTTCATTAAGAAAAAAATTAATTTTAAAAACAAAATTTTTATTTCTAATACCATCAACCTGATATTTTTTCATAGCATATTTTCACTACAAATAATTTCAAAGTAATCAATCCCTTAAATACTACACACTCATTTAAGGAATTAATTCCTTAAGTATTTTTCTTTCAGGTCTAAGTAAAACTTTTAAAACATTTTCTATGTTTTTAAATAAAAATTCAACTCATTTTACAAAGAACTCTGCCATGCAGAGTCCTTTTTTTTTTTTAAATATCTGTTACATGAATCACTGCAAAACTTTAAAGTGGATTACCAAAAGCTGTAAAGGATTACATTTCAGTCCAAATTTCACAAAAACATAAAGCAGTTAAGGACAATGCAAGTTGTACTTTTTATCTATGATCTTACACTGATGGGAACTATACCTTTTGCAGAATATGCTCTCTGCTTTACTCTATTTTCCTTCCACTATACCATAATAAAACTTAGTCAATACAAAATTATAAACAGAAACAAAGGTGTTTGATAGATCTAAAAAATCAATAGCACAATTTTCACACCTTGAAATTGAAAATGTGTTGATGTCTAGCAAGCAAATCTTCCACCAAATTAAAAAATATAAATATTCTAATAAAAGATAATCATAAACAAAATAGTATATGCATGTTGTCATAATTTAATTGCTAAAAAAGCTGCAGTCCTATTTAAGAAAAAACTTTTAGTGTCAAATATGTAAGAGAAAGGCTTAAGATCCAGGCTTCATCAATTCTATGAACATGTTATAACTGCCAATAACAGATACAGCAGCATTTCATTTTAGTGAAAAGATGCCAATAAAAATATAGCCATATAGCTGTATGTGTGTACACATATATATCTGTGTATATGCCTACTTCAAAAATTAACTGTAAAAAATAATTGAAGGAATATGTCATATTTTAAATTACTTACCTTTCGTCCATCACTTGCATGGCAATTCACATTTAGAGGAGTCAGTAAAGCCATTAGTTTTTCTTCATTACCACTCCTATAAAAAACATAGTAAGTCAATTTCCATGAAATTTATAGTGTTTTATCAGTATTTAAGCATTTTTTTCACAAAAAAATAGAAAATATAATAGGCTTGTTTTGTTTTCTTTTATGTGGTTTCAATGAACCTCTTTTGTTACATCCAATTCAATTAATGTATTCCTAATTAATTCTAGTTAATCACGGAATAGTGGTACATCTTGAATAATGTAGCTTTCAACATTTTGTCTTATTCATACACATAAAGCCACCTTTTTAATTATAGACAAACTTTATTCTGGTAAGTGATCTAAAATACTGGAGTTAAAAATACAAATAAGATGCTAATCAATTACATTATAAATGACCAAGAACAAAAGAAAATGGATGAGAATTTTAACATTTACTATATGCTCCTCATTCAAGCTTTGTTTAAAAAATTTTCAGAGGAAAATGAAGACACAGGTATTTAAATACTCCACGAATTTCATTCAAAGAGCTGGGCAACTAAGGTTTATAGGTATCTTAAGAAATGTTCTAAATAAAATTAACCTTACAATCATCTCCACACTGAAAGACTGTATCGTTTAACAGACTGATCATGTAAAACAAATGTTTAAAATAAAGTCTCTTCCACATAATTGCATAAAATCCAAGCGAGACAATAACACGCTATAATTTTCATAGTCTCCACTGCCCTCCCCCTTTCTCGCTTAAATGTATTATACTCACTTAAAATGAATGGAATCACTTACCTAGCAGCTTCTAGGAGTTCGTCTTTCTTGTATTCACCTAGATGATTGCAAAATATCATGCTGTTAGCATTTGGCAGAAGACAGATGAAGAAATGCAGTAGGCAGCAAATAGAGAATTAAATAGAGAAGAACAGAAAAAGAGAGTCCACACCCCGCTGGGTGATGGAGCCGTGACGTTAGCCAGCTTGTGAAGGCAGCATCACCAGTGCCTTGGAGACGGGCAGCAAATTGACGCAGCTTCTTGTCCAATCCTCAGATGAAATAGCTTTCTTCAGACAACCAATGAATGCGAAATCTCATGTCCAGAAACACATTCCCTCTGATAACAGCATGCCAGCTGAAGACAATGTCCCCTCCCCCCTTTCCTATTCAGGCTGTCACAGTATACTTGGGAAGCAAAATACATTCTCAGACAAAAGCAAAATAATGTTCCCCTTTAAAGGTACAAATGACTAGCCTTCCGGAAAAGCTGTTTTATTTGTAAAGGCATGGAAAGTTAAAACAACAACAACAACAAAACAACAACAGTAATTACCATTGCAGAGCTTGAGAGCAATGAAAAAAAAATCTGAATCATGAAAGCTTTGCCTCAATAGGGCAGGTCTGTATACTAGGAAGACGTGAACTCCGTACCAAATGCTAGGAACCTCTCGGAGGCAGTACTCCAAAACCCAAACACTGACTACCTTACATGACACAGCGATAACATTAAAGTGAGAGTATTCTGATGAACTGCATTATTTATACAAATACCAAATTTGTATACAAAATACAAAAAAAAAATCCTAACAAAAAATATTTAAAACTATTTTTGAAAGGAAGTTATAGTTAAGAATGAGCAGATATCCAACTACTGTGGATAATTTTCCCATTCTATTTTTTAATGTCCCAAATAAATACATATATAAAATTTAAAACTTCCAAATGAAATTTCTTAAGGTATTCAAGATCTGACAAATTTTCTTTGTAAGTTCAATGCATGAAAAAGGAGGTGCAGCATTTCTTCATTTAAAAAGTAAAAAGACTAGGCAAGACTATGATTCAGCTATAATACAAGGATTAAGTTTGCCATTTCATTAAGAAGTAATTGTATGAAGTGTGAAAGCAAATAATTATACGAAAACCAGGAGCAGAATGCAGAGAAGAGAACATACAATTTTCAGCTAAATGAAAATTCTCCAATAGCTTAAATTATTTTAAATCTTGTTTGTAAACGTGAATTTATTTGCATTTTATTTGTTCTCTATAGGGTACAGAATGCTGATGTGAGTAGTATAAAGACACTGCAGGATCACCAGCACCTTATTTCTTTTTTTAAGTTTTACATCCCATCATTAAGTTTTGAATCACTAAGTTTTGTATCATTAAGTTTTATTAGCCCTTCATTAAATTTTGCATCCTATCTCTTAGTTTAAATTTTGTCTTGCCTTTTTCAAGAAGATTACGTTAAGACCTAGAAATCAGGAAAAATTACTTCAAATCAGGTAAAAGCTGTCAACCATTTTCTCCTGAGGGGAATATGTACATATCAATAGTTACTAATCAAACAATGTATACAGATAAACTAGAACTCAGGGCTTTACAACCTTAAGAATTAACTGGTCTTTCCAGTCCTCATGCATTGCTTTCCAGGTTCCTTGATTGACAATTTAAGACTCATGTTATTATTATATTATATATTATTATATCCCATGGCCACTAAGATTTCTCTCTTCCAAAGTCAAAGGCTTAACTTTACTAAACATTTTAAGTGGTGACAGAAAAACCAATTTTGAAAGCTTCTAGTAAGGAAAATAGCATAACCCAAACCTGCAAATGCCTTAAGGATCAAGAGCAAAATAAAAACATGGAATCATCTATAAAAGACTATATGCCAGATTCAAAACCAAGACAGACACATCACCTCCAAACTTAAGGAAATTTGTTAAATCAGACTGGAAAACATAAGCCAATTATTAAGAAAAAATCTTTAGAAACCTATTAAAAAGCTAACAAAGGTGGCTCTAAACAGGATTAATAGAACTTTGGGTGGTTTCTGGAAGAGGGATACTGTGCAGAGTTTTGAAGGAACAGGAGATTCTCATATAAAGAAGGGAGGGAAAACAGTGATGAGAATGAAAGAAGGCGGTCGCTCTGAAAACCTGAAGTAGAGGAACCTGCAGAGCGGTGAGTAGAAGCAGAAAAGAAACACAAAGGTCAAGAATAATTCTTTGAAATAAGTTTGAACGTTATTTTCAAGACAATGAAAAATAAGACATTTTAACAGGGGAGTATAAAGCATAGACTTAATCGTGAATTTTAGTATATGAAATTTTTCTCTGCTCTTTAGTGAACTTTTGTTGGGGGGAAAATTGGCAAAGGGATGAGGCACCAGAATGAATTCTGACCAAGCTCATATTTAAGATTAAGCTTATATTTCTGATATATTGTAAATAAAATTAATATTTTGAACTGAAATGAAAATTGCTATCTTGAATTCTAAATAATATTGAAACATGATTCTAATATGCTAAACAAAATGTCAAGTATCGTAGAAGTTCATATCTATATGAACTCATCAAGTATAGCCTATTTTCTACAAAAGAGACATTTCATGCAAAGAAAATGTTATTTGCTCAAGTATAAACTGCTAATAAAACCAAACTTTTTAAAGCAAACATGTCTATGCATCCAACAGTTAGACACAAGTATTACAAATGACTTTCTACCTTTACTATTAAAGCTCCTCCTGCTTTAATCAGCCTTTCTGCAGTACACGGCAACATCCACTATCTGGTGCCCAAGGACCACAATCGAAAACAGTCTAAGCTATTTTTCAAATGCTACATTGCAGGAACAACCAACATAATGAAATTAGAGTCCCTCACACACTCTGACAACAAATCAGAACCATTTACTTAACAGTCAAACCACCAGCTCGGTTGCATTTTAGCTGAAAATCAGAAAATATTCTGGCTGTGACTATGGTGCTCTGTGGAGCATTTATATTCTTTAATAACATCCAGATAAAGGCGAGTAATAGATCAGCCAGAAAGGAAACTCGGCAATTATAGTCTAGCAGCCGAGAATGGAGAAAATAGATGCTGGAAATATTTTTCTTTGATTAGGATAAGTGGGATAAGAAAATAAACTGCAAAGCTCCTATTTTTGTAGTCTTGATTGCTTTTATTAATAAAGTAATGTTGTAGTACATATAAAGATAAGCAAATATATGTAGAACAGGAATGAAAGAAGAGGGGGAGTGAGAAAGAGTGAATTAATGTACTGAATGAGCTAGCTTATCAGAAAGGTTAAAACTGTAACTTCCTTTGTATTTCTCTTAGGTAATTAAACCTCTCTCCTTTAGTGTAGAGGCGAATTTCCTTTTGACTAGAAATGAAGAAAATTTGCATCAATAAATAGAAGCTGTATAGTGACATCTCAATTTCAATATTTTAAGGATCTTCTGTCCCTTCCTTTAAGTATCTGACAGGAACAAAGTGGACTTGGTTGTATAAAAATGTCATTTGGTTTTGTTGAAATGGAACAGCATGGGAAGATTATAAACACAGAATCATAAATGCTTAAAAAAAAGGACTGAAAAAAAATGGAATGATCTCTCTTCTACTTTGAGACCATGCATAATGCATGTTAGACAGTAACGTCTCCTGTTATACGCAATAAGGGAGGTGTAATTTGAAAGATACCCCTCTCTCCTGTCATCTCACCCCTCAATTTCTGAAACCCTGTGCTAATATCATCTGCAACATATTCACTCACCACAAATGAAACTGGTGCTAAGGTAATTAAATTAACTGCCTAAGGCCTAAGTATTATTCCCTATCAGGTCCTCAATTAAGCTAACATCTAAGCACAAATTAGCTTCTGAACTAAGATAGTAAGTACTTACAAATCTGAGCTTTGGAAAAAACAAAAGAATAATAAAAGAAAATGACGACAAAACTATTTTGAAAACTAGGGTCAGGGATGTGCTCAGCAGTATAATATGTAACTCAAAATGTGTGAAGCTTTGGGTTCAATCCCCAGCAATACACACACAGAAAATACTAATTTTAAAAACGGCAACTAGTAGGGGCTAGAGCAATGGCACAGCGAGTCGGGTGCTTGCCCTGCACACAGCTGTCCTGGGTTTGATTCCTACATCCCATATTCCCTAAGCATCACCACGAGTGATTCTTGAGCATCAAGGGTGCGGCCCAAAAACAAACTAAAAAGACAACTAACCTTAAGTAGACAGCACATATTTACATAATAAAACCAAATCTATGTATCAATATGAACTGTTTTAAGGTGTGTGAACTTTCTTAAGAATTTGGGTGCTGCGGTTCGCAAAACATTGAGTAGCTATCATGTCTGGTCTGTAGTCTATTTTCAGCATGCATCTCTCATCCTGGGAGGGTCCTCCCAACACCCTTTACTTGGTGCTCCCCTCTCTATCTGAGCTGTCTTCTCCCTCAGCATGTAACAAAAGGGAATGCCCTGTTACAGGGGTGGGGTGCGATGGGATGGAGGGGTGGCGGAGGGGAGGGATGCTGGGAGCACTGGGGGTGGGGAATGGGCACCGGTGGAGGGATGGGTACTCAATCATTGTATAACTGAAACCCAAGCACAAAAATTTGTAAAGTCAACAACTGTACCACATAGAGTTTCACTAATAAAAAATTTTGTCAACACATAAAATTTATAGGGTCTGCCTTTTCATATTTGAACCAAGGGAAAAAAAACAACGAAGAAAATTCATTTCAGATCTAAATTCAAACTATTAAAGCACTTTTGCAATTCTCATAATGCTTTTATTTTTTATTTATCCCCCCTCCCCCTGCCCCACCCTACCTCTGTGGCAGGGCATTCCCTTTTGTTACATGCTGGTCATACCCAGCAATGCTCAGAGGTTACTCCTGGCTCTGCATTTAGGAATTACTTCTGGCGGTGCTTGGGGGACAATATGGGGTGCCAGTGATCGAACCCAGGTTAGTCATGTGCAAGGCAAACACCCTACCCACTGTACTATCACTCCAGCTCCAAGGGCATTCCCTT